ATTGAAGAGGAAGAGCTTTAATCCTATCTAAATTTAGCCTGGCTAAATAGGTTTTTGCATTTTTTTTTTTTTTTTTTTCTGGGAAGAGATTTATAACTTCTCAGTGTATATGACTTAAATTTATTCTCTGGCAAGTTAACCTGTCAGCAAACTTCTTTATTGTTTTCATTGAAGAGGAAGAGCTTTAATCCTATCTAAATTCCTGAATGAAGCTCTGCTGAAAGTTTCTCCTGTAGTACAGGGTAGTTGCAGGCTGTAGTATGGTTTTCTAAACCAATGGGATGCTTGACAAGATGTATGGGGAGGTGATTTTTTGGTGGGGAGGCGGGGATATTTTTACTCGTTTTTAGAGAGGGAAGTTGTGATACTGCATCTTCTAAAGGAATTCCAGCAACTCCGTTATCTCAAAAGCGTCTTTAATGAGAGGAAATGTTTCTCACTTCCAGTTTCATAAATCTAACGGTCTGGGATTCTTCAAATGCATATGATATGCTCCTGGAATGTTTGCTGCTGCACGTAGTAGGGTCATCTAGTATGATCACTGCCATTTGGAAATGAACTCTGATTTAAATTTTGACTTCCAGACAAAACACTTCACCTGGTGCCGCATGTTTAAAAGCAGTGCTGAAGTTTCTGAACAGAATATTTCTTGGCATGGGAGACTGTGCCCTAAGATTACATTTTAAAGTAAGTGTTCTTACTATCTTTGGAGAATTTGCCATCCTAGACTTTGCATTTGAAACTTTTTCTTCTTGATTCTACCAGTAAAGACAACTCTATTCAAAAAGAATGTAGTTGTTTTAGGGTATTTCTTTAAAATTAATATTCAATGTCCACATCCACACACAAAGAAGAAGGAGGATTTCCACCCCCTCATACCTTCTCCTTCAAATATATGACTTTGGTGTGAATTATGATAGCTCTAATCACATAAGGGCACTTGTGATTTCACTGGAGAATGAGTTCTTGCCTGATTACAGATCCTCCTACTTTCCATAGGAAGTTTCCGGCCCACACTGCTATCAGAAATTTGCACCAAATTGGGAACACATTGCTCTGTTTTGGTATTTGTTACCCAGCTGTACATTTTTGAAGGATTAATCTACCCGAGATGACAATCTCTTAGATGAACTATACACATAAATTTCAAGAAATCTTAGCTTTGCCTGAGGCCATAGAATAATGTCATAAACCCGCGAAATTACTTCATTAATTAAATAAAGATAAAAAGTCACTTGGTTCTGGAAAAGTACTGTACTCCTTAAGGAGGAATAGCAAATACTATGCACATTTACAATTCATAAAATGTAAACATCAAGTCTTTTCTCCCCTCTTTTTCCATTCCTTCCTTATAATGCTCTGGAGGAAAATTTAAGAGTTTCACGAGTTGTCACAACAGTTATGTCTTAAGGAATCATAGCTTGGAATCTCACCGACTCATGATTGATAGACACTCAATTAAATATTAACACAATGTCCAGTGAATTTTTCGGCAGTCTGCTGTGGGCTGCTTGCTTCTTTCCAGCTTGTTTCTAAGGAATCGAAACTCTCATTTCTAAGAGGGGTGGCATCAATACTGCCTCCCTTGATGCAGCCCAAGAAAGCCTTTCTCACTCTGAAACCAAGGCTAGGACCCACAGGCACCATGTTTAACATGCTGTGTTACACTTTGCAAGGTCACGGAGATTTGCCTTAAAAATAAATTTTTAAGTGTTCATGCATGCTGCTTTTG